AAAAAATATATAAAATTGACCACCTTACTCGCACCTTTACTCAAATTTTTTTTTTAATTAATTGAATTATCTCTTAAGGTATTGAGGTATTGACTCTTGCGTCAGTCTCGATCCGGTCTATGGACTGAAACTCTAAAAAAAAGAAGGGCCCGAAGGAAATGCTCAACTCAGTTGGGCTTAAGGGCCTTGTGTTTCTTTTGGGTTTTGGACTTGGTTAAGTTCAACGCCCAAAAGAAACATGATGAACGAAAGTTCTAACTTCCAAGAAGGAACAATGAAACGGGGCTTAAGGGGCTCGTGCTTCTTTTGGGCTCTGGGAGTTGGTACTTGGTAAGTTTGACGTCCAAACCAAAAGAAACATGATGTATGCAAGGATGAAGGGAAAAAAAAGAAACATGATGTGAGGATGAAGGAAAAAAAAAAGAAACATGATGTGAGGATGAAGGGAAAAAAATGATCCAATTAAAGTTCCGAGGAGAATAGTTTGCTAACAAAAATAATCGAAATATTGCTTATAAAAAAATATCCTGTTAAACTTTAATAAAGTAATTCAATAATTAAGAATTTAAAATTTTAAGTTAGAAATTTTAAATTCAAGTTTTGAGTAAGATAAAAAAAGATTTGAGAATAAATAAAGATTATTTTTTTTTATATAACTTATAATCAAATGTATAAAAAAATAAATAAATAAACCCTACCATGATGCAGCCTTCCCTAACTCTTTCTTTTAATCGCTGCTCTTCCTCTGATAAAATAAATGCAAATAGGGAGTTTGATCAAATATTGAAGAGGGGCTAAAATGTTTTTTATTATATGTAAATATTTTATATATTATAACATATAAAAGGTGACTCAACCTCAGATATGACTTTATAAAATTAAATTTTTTTGTTTATTCACATTATAAAAATTTATATTTTAAGTCACTTTTCATAAGATATTATTTTAAATTTTTTAAAATTACTAATTATCAGTATATTTTCGGTTTGATTCTTTTTAATAGACTAAGTTGTTTTCATAGAAGAACAATATAATTAAATGGCATAAAAAGAAACATAGGAAAGAATTTAAAGATTCATTAAAAGTTCAAGAGCATAAATTAATTACTTAAAAATTTGTCATTAGCAAACAAAAAATTCGAAATACTAGTTAGTACTTTGAGAAAATAGAGATTTATTCATATGCCAACAAAATTTAATATTATCATACAAATTATGGCACGATGTTCATTCAAAATTGTAATTTTACAATAAAAACTGACCATCATGTAAGATTGATAGTTAGCTTATAAACTATGTGAATATTTTCAAAATGTAAAAAATTATAATTATTTAACAACTCAAAAAAATTAAGAATATAGAAAAAGAGATTTAATAAAGAAAACTTTAACTAATATGCTTTTATCATGGAGGAAGGAAAGTTCCAGGCGCTTGTTGAAAGTACTCGGTCAAGTAAATATTACACAGTCTTAAAAAAATTCCACTGTCCTATCAAAGGCTCGAAAGCATTTATTGAGCCACGCCGCCACGTTATTTTGCTTTGTAAGAAGTTGCACTTCACAGCCATAAACCAAGCTTACGTGGCCCAATGAAAGGGGAAGTGTTGGCTGGCTGGAGAATGCAAGAGGCGATTGCCCCTAGTACTGCTCTTATCATTGACAAAACGTCGCACATAACTTACATGTAAAAATAGCCTATAAAAACCAACGAGGGGTTGGATCAAGTGGTAAGCGACTTGTTCCAACTTAAGTAAGGTCTCAAGTTCGAGTCTTTGTGGATGCAGCAGCCTCTGTTGAGAGACTCACCCACCATTT